TTGTGATGAAGAAGTGATGAAACAATTGTACTTGTTTCATCACTTCTTATTCTTTATGACAGAGCAGACATCATTTTGCCATAATGATGAGGACTTGTTACTATCTGCTAGACTCCATGGCCCATCAAATGTAGATTAAAAAAATAAATAAACAGGAATTTGTGGCATTGCAGAGAGAAAAAAAAACCTAGCCTCTAGGAACATTTCTTTCCAAAAATGGGCTTATTAACAACAAAATAAAATTCCTGGATAGCTTCAAAACAGTGCTTTGATAGTGTGTTTATCTGTCAGAAAATAGCATATGCTTTGAAATTCTAAAGATAGCAATTATGTAGAAGTGTTAGGAATTTCTGCTAACTCATATAAGTTAAAGACATCAAAGTACTTTTGATGTGCAAAGTAATTCGTCGTATCTTTTTAGAAGGATCATAACACTGAACTTGGCTCAGTTTGCAGATTTGGGCAGCAGATAGGTATTATAAGTAAGGTAAAGGTTCCCCTTGCACATATGTGCTAGTCATTCCTGACTCTAGAGTGCGGTGCTCATCTCCGTTTCAAAACTGAAGAGCCAGCACTGTCCAAAGACTTCTCCGTGGTCATGTGGCCGGCATGACTAAATGCCAAAGGCACACGGAATGCAGTTACCTTCCCACCAAAGTTGGTTCCTATTTTTCTACTTACATTTTTACATGCTTTCGAAGTGCTAGGTTGAAAGAAGCTGGGACAAGTAACAGGAGCTCACTCCGTTATGCAGCACTAGGGATTTCAACCGTCGAACTGCCGACCTTTCTGATTGACAAGCTCAGCATCTTAGTCCTTAATATTCAGTCAAATGGTATGATATTAAATGGTTCTCTTCTCTCCTCTCTCAGGCGCTGCTGGAATTCCTTAGGCTGGTAGTTACCAAAGAAAGAAAAAACAAGATGAGCCTTTGGAATGTTTCCACAGTTATTGCTCCAAACCTCTTCATGCACAAGAGTTTGCCAAGCAAGATCCCAGAAGGAAAAGAGAAGCAGCTGGCAGAAGGAGCGGCAGATATTGTTCGAATGATGATCCATTATCAAGCTTTGCTCTGGACTGTAAGTTAGGGGAAATTTTATTTCCCAAATCAATTTTAAATTATCATTAGCAAAACCTAATGTAATATGTTTCTGCAAAGAGAAAAGTGCTGATTAAAAGGATCCTTTTAGCATTTAAAATAACATCCTTTCACTTTATATTTCATGCTGACAGTATTAACAAATTCCATCATTTAGATTCAAAATCATTCTTCATGTATAAATAACTCTGATCAAAGAACTATTATTTTCAAGCCACTGGAAAATTTCCAATGTCAAATGACTGATACAATAATTGACTTGTAAGGGTGGTGGTGGATGTAATTAAATGTATTAAAAAAAACTACAATCCACACATTGGTTGTTTGTTTCTCCCATCTTCAGGAGATAATTCAGAATGATTTCATGGAGATTTCTGATGTGAATGAACTGTATCACTGAAAGTTTGCACACCTGTCATTTTTCATCTTTGCTTTAGGTTCCTTCTTTCTTGGTAACTCAAATAAGAAAACTGAATGAGAACAGCAGCTGGAAGTATCAGTTCTATGACAGGAGGATCAAGAATCTGTTAAGAAAGATTCATGCAGACAAGGAAAAGACAGAAAAGAACAACGTTGAGGTGAGTGAGATCTCTGTTCAGCCATTTTGTATCACTAGGACAGGGGTGTCAAACTAGATTTCATTGAGGACCGTATCAGGGTTGTGTTTGACCTGGGGGGGGGGATGGCTCACTGGGTGTGGCCAGGGTGAGCATGGCCAGTTCAACATCACTCATGTTGGGAGCGCCTGTTGGTGGTTGAAGCGCTCTGCCAGTGAAAATGGAACATGGCCCTCTCAAGCTCCATTTTCATTGGCAGAGGGCTGCCGCAGCCAAAAATGGAGCCTGGGAGGGCTGTACATGGCCCTCCCAAGCTTCTGTTTTTGTTCGCAGAGGCTCCGTGGTCCGGTCCTTCACTGTTTTCAGGATAGCCCCATGGGCCAGATCTAAGGATCTCGCAGCCTGTATCTGGCCTGCAGACCTTGAATTTGACACCCTGCATTAGGACATCATAAATGGCACTAAAGCTATCTATCCATCCTAATAATTTTGGTAAATGAAAATGACAAGGAGAATCTACTCATATTGATATGTGTAGGGATTAGCATCCAGTTGTAAACAGGGATAATTTGGAGGACAGTGTGGGAACTGGAAACAGTAGAAATGAAGTGCATCTGTTCCAGGGGTGGGTTCCTGCCAGTTCTAACCTCTTCTATAGAAGAGGTTCCACAAATCTACAGTGCCATTTAGTACCGGTTCCAGCTCCCTCCCCCCGCCCGTCCGCACATCATCAAGATGAAGAAGGAGAGGAGGAATTCTGGGAGTTGAAGTCCACAAGTCTTAAAGCTGTCATGTTTGAACACCCCTGGAGGTTTTTTTCTAAAGGGTTAGGGGTGCAAGGGTCTTGTAACTTGGCAGCTTTAAGACTTGCACACTTCAATGCCAGAGTTCCTGAGCCAACATGATTAGAGAAGGAATTCTGGGAGTTGAAATCCACAAGTCTTAAAGCTGTCAAGTTTGAACATCCCTGGGGTATTTTCTCTAAAGGATTAGGGGTGCAAGGGTCTTCAAATGCCAGAGTTTCTGAGCCAACATTTTGGTTGCTAAGCAAGAGCGTTGTTAAGTGAGTTTCACTACATTTTTCAAGTTGGCCACGCCCACCCAATCATGTAGCTAGCAAGCCACTCCCACCTAGTCACATGGCTGGCAAGCCACTCTCACCCAGTCACATGGCCGGCAAACCACTCTCACCCAGTCACATGGCCGGCAAGCCACTCCCACAAAGCAGGCCACACCTACAGAAGAGGTTCTAAAAATTTTTGAAACCCACCACTGATCTGTTCTAACTCCATGCATGTAGTCCTCAGTTTATGACCATTGCTTAATAACAGTTTTAATTAATTGTGGCTTCTGAAAAAGTCAGTTAATGACCTAAATTTGAATTTGCAACCAACCCCATGTAATTGCAAATCAATTGCTAGGAAACCGGTTCACATTTATGACTAGTTGTACTGTCCTGCAGTGATGACAATTTGTGATGTTTGTTGCTGATTTCCCGCAAGAAAAATGCCATTGGTTATTATGGGTTTGCACTTAACAATTGTGTGACTTGATTTAAAAACCACGGTAAAATGGTCATAAACTCAGGTTTGATCACATGGTGACTCAACCTATGACTGCAATGATTAACAATGGAAATTCTAATCCTAGTTATGGTCGCAAATCAAATATCTAGAGACTGATTTAATAGTCCATTCAAGGCATATACATAAATGAAATGATGGCCTGCAGAATTGCTTCTCCTAGATGTTACAATCATGCATAACTTGTCATCTGAAGTGACTTTTTAGTGGCTTTGGGCTGTACGTTCAGTTTTGATGTGCAAAAGAACATCAAAATCCTGCAAAAGAGTTTCTTTCATATGATTCTTGCATGATTAAAAAGAAATAGGGCTGTGTTTTTTTGTGACAAATGCCTTCAAGAAAAGTACAGTCTCTCTCCTATGTAAACACAAGGGGGCGATCATGTTTTATCAGTTGTAGGCACTCATATGCTACTCTTACATGTGAAAGAAGTGGTTTTAATCATTTCTTTATGGCCGTCTTACCCTTTGCTTCTTACTGTCTGGACTCTCTACACAGAGCAGATAGTTGGAGGCAAGAGTAACGCCACACGTTGATTTACTCAATATACCTCCACATTTGTTACAGACATTTAGATTTATTTTTAATTTGATTTTTTCTTCATATCTCTCTTTATTGCTGTCCCTTTCTTTCAGCCTTGCAAAATAGTCAAAATCCAGGCTTCTTTGTTCTTGAAAGACTCACTGGAAGTTCATTTAACGCACGGAACAAAAGCAGCCGATGTTCTAAGACAGTTCCAGAAGAACCTTGGTCAGAATGGCTGGAATATTGTCAGCACAGTCAACATAATCAAATGGTAATAACTTTTTCTCCCTTTTACCCTAAGCCTAGCAGAGCTATGGCTTGGTTTTGCCTGTATGTTAAGCAGGTGGAATTTGAAAATGTGAGTTAAACACATTTTAAAGGAAACATATCTTGTGTCTGTGTTTTCAATAGCTAGAGCAGTCAGCTCAATCACAGTAGGCAAAGAATTTCAGTGAATGCTTGATTGATTGATTTTTCATTACTGTGGGTAGTTCCTCAAGCCTAATGGAAAGTTTTAAGACTTTGCAAATACATTTCTGTATATTAAGCTACTAAATATATCTGTACATTACAATACTTAAAAATAATTAATTACACGGTAAAAACTTCTTTATGAATAATGAAGTAGTGTACTTTACTACCATGAAAATTAGAACACTCCTCCATAGGGACTGGTAATAGAAATTCCTCTTCGCCTTATAATTTATTTTTTATAATATAAAAAATCCTAAAGTTAAAAGAATCCAAATTAATGCAAGTGTGGTTCTGCAGAGTAATATCTGGTGTAATGAAACCATCTCTTGACTATGAGGCACAGCAGAGATGTAAGAAGATACTGATATTCAGTATTCATGACAACCAGACTGATTCTACCTTGAAGGAAGAGATTTCAACAAATACATTAGATTGTCACTTTGAAAGACACTTTTCTATTTTTAAAATTGCCCTCCCATGCAAATATAGTCAAACGGAAGGAATTTGGGTCTGTTCCTGAAGGAGGTAGGAGATGTGAAATATTTGCTTAGTCCTGGGAAAGTAGAAAGTGTGAAAAAGTGACTTTATTTTATTTTTCTTAAAAACGGATAATGAAAGTTTGGGATAGGCTTTAAATATTCTCTTATATGCCCTACAACACTAAAGTAGCATTCTTGAAATTGCTGCTATGTCTGTTTCTTGACTTGGGTCTACTTCAAGTGGTTGATATCGGCCATTTCCATCCAAAACTAAGAGTTGGCAAAATAAATATAAGCCACACCTTTGCTAAAAATATGTTTACATTTAATATGGCGTGCTTAATATGCTGATACTAAAAGCTTTGTCAGGGTGTTGCCCTGTCAGCTCCAGTGCATATGCGCATGCTGGCCAGCTGATTTTTGGCCATTTTTTACCCTCTGGAAGGTTCAGGGAAGCTGAAGTCTCTGGAGAGCAAAAAACCGCCCAACATGCAAACTGGAAGTCTGTTCCCGAACCTCCGGATTGCACGTTGGGCAGCTTTTCACCTTCCCCAGGGTCCAGAGAAAGCCTCTGGAGCCTGGGGAGGGCAAAAAATGGATCTACCGGGCCCACCAGAAGTCAGAGGGCCGTTTCTGGCCTCTGGAGGCCCTTGGGGGGGGCAGAGGAGGGCATTCTCGCCCTCCCGAGGCTCCAAGAAAGCCTTGCGCACATGTGTGGGGTAGCGGTGTGTGTGTGTCATGCGTGCATATGCAGGAGGCATGGCATGGAGGGCATTAAATTTTGAGGGTGAGAGTGCAAGCATGCGTGATTAGTGCACGCATGCGTCCTTTTGGCACCCGAGGTGAAAAAGGTTGTAATTTTTTTAGTTGTAATTTGTAATCTTGATATTGGCTGGGATTCTTATAAAATCTTTTGGGCCAAACCCCAACCTGTATAAATGAATGCTATCAATTCTATTCTGGTGCTGCGTAATAGAGACCCAAGTCTTCAAATTATGGTAATCAAAAGCTAGCTAAAAATATAATTTTTAATTACAGTTTAGCAATCATGACAAATATATGGCTGACTTAAAAAATCTTCTGATATAATTTGTATTTGTTTGCAAGAGGTTCCCTATGCATAGGAAGTAGTTGCCTTGTCTTCTTCAGTAAATAAAATATATGCCTGTACAGTGGAAAAGGGAAGGATGTGGCACAATAGATTTAAGACATTAGCACTTAATGCTCTATTAATGACAAACCTTTTCCACTAGGAGCAGTGCAGTTTGCCTTTAACACGTTCAAGTATCTCTTGAACTCGCTGTTGAGCTAAGTTGAAATGTTGTCAATAGGTATCGATTTTTTTCAGTCTTTTTTATTTTCTTGAGAAGGTTGCCTTTTGCTAGGAGTTAAGAGAAGGAATGAATGTCTTTACTAGACTACTGTTCTCTTGAGTGGTTTTCTCTCGTGTGTGCCCTATGGATGTGTTGTACACAACTTTCATAATCTCCACCTACCATGGTCAAATTATTGAAGTTAATTAAATTGATACTATGTCTCGAGCTGTAGAATCTTAAGGTAAAGGTTCCTCTCGCACATATGTGCTAGTCGTTCACCACTCTAGGGGGCGGTGCTCATTTCCGTTTCAAAGCTGAAGAGCCAATGCTGTCTGAAGATATCTCCTTGATCATGTGGCCAGCAGAACAAAGGTGCACAGAACGCTGTTACCTTCCCACCAAGGTGGTCCCTATTTTTCTACTTGCTATTTACATGCTTTTGAATTGCCAGGTTGGCAGAAGCTGGGACAAGTAATGGGAGCTCACTCCATTACATGGCACTAGGGATTCGAACCGCCGAACTGCCGTCCTTTCTGATCGACAAGCTCAGCGACTTAGCCACTGAGCCACCGTGTCCCTGTAGAATCTTATGCAAAGATAAAATTTAAAATGTAGACTCTGTAATCCTGCTTTTTCTTGATGCTATTAAATCCCTGTGGTAATAGTGTAGCCTTTTCGGGGTCAACTATATGCTATTCACATGTGACTGATTATGTGCCATCAAGTAGGTGACCTGGTTGACCACATAAACTTTCTCCACAATGTTCTATCCCCAACTTGGCCCTCCACGTCTTCCAATAGTATATCCATTGCTACTGTAATTGAGTTCATCTGTCTTGCTGCTATCCGTCCTCTTCTCTTTTCTTCCGCTTTCCCTCTTCTCCAGAGAGCTTGGACTACTATGTCCAATGTATGATAATTTGGGTCTCATCACTTGTGCCTCAAGAGAGAACTCTGAGTTCATTTGTTCAGTGATCCATTTCTTCATTTTAGAGGTGGGCAATGGGAGGTGGGGGGAACACAACTGTCCATGATATTCTCAACATAAATACTCTTTCTACATTCACATGTACCTTGGATTAATTTTGATTACATATAAGTTTATTATCAGTCTCTCCAACTAATTTTATTATAAAATTATTGTTGCTTTAAGAGAAAGTTTTAACTGAGCTTTAAAAAAAGGTATATGTTAAATAGTTTTTAAACTTTGTTTAACCTTTTGAAAATCAGATTTCTCTAACCTTAGATCTAGATTAATAAAAATAATTTGTTTGCTGAACATTGAAAATCATTGTGTTTTTCTTTGTTTTGCAGTAATGGTTCAGTGGATTCGATGAACTTCCTACTATATGAAGTTGGCGGCAACATAAGTACGTGTGGTTGCACTAATTCTTGTTCAAGGGGAATATGGGCTACTAGTTTCTACTAGGGATAACTTTTGGCAATGGAGAATAAACACTATTGAAGGAATAAATAGGCTGGGCAGCAACTAAGAATTGACAGCTTTACCATTCCCCAGTAACAAAGCAGCATGTAAGTTGCTGAGAATTGTTCAGGTTGGGCATTTGGAGAAAATCCTTTAATTAAATGTGAGCCTGGTCCCTACAACCTGACAAAAGCATAATCCTGATTTAGCATTATGTGTGAAATATGAAAGATTCACATAAGATAGTGTTTGGTAAAAGTTGTTTCACATCTGATTTTGAAAGAGTGAAAAAGAGGATTGCTGCAAGGTCCGAATCAAAATGCTTCCCAGAGACATTCATGGTAAAATGCATGTTTCCAGCTACTACAAGTCCATTTATAGCGTAATGCTCAGCAAACTGTCATGAGCCTAATTCAACTCTATATTTTTGTCCTTTCTCTGGAAGCATTTTCTTCATAGGGTCTTTCACCTTTCTAATCTTTACTTGTAGTCAGGGGTGAAATATACTTACCTTCGCTACCGGTTCACTACTGGTTCGCAAATGTGAGTGCATGCGCAGAGTGTCAAAAACAGATGTGATGATGTGTGGGTGGGCGGAGCCTGTTACCGAGCACGCCTGCAAAGGTAAGTAGAACAGCGAAGGCGGTGGAAAATACACTGTGCCATGCGATTTAGATTAGCTAGAAAGCAGGAAATCCTACTTTCTAGTTAATATAAATCACAAGTCATAGCTGATCATGGTAAATCCTGGTTCGGGTGAACCAGTAGCTTTTTTTTTACCTCTGGTTTAGGCGAACCGGTCTGAACTGGTAGCATTTCACTCCTGCTTGTTGTCCAGGAATAATATTTCATGAACATTGTTTATGAAATCATTTGAAACTAATGACTAAGCATAAAATAAACTCTAGTGAAAGGTTTATAGTTCATTTTTTAAAAACTAAACAAACTGTTTCCCCCTTCTAACAGATGAACATTGCCTGGATCCAGATACATATCTTTTAGACCTGTACCATGTGAACCCTCATGCAGAATGGATTATAAGGCAAACCCCGCCTTTTCCAAGAACACCTTAGGGAGACTGCTTAGTTAAAAAAAACAAAAACACAACGGGGCCAAGAATTTGTATTAAGTTGTTTAAACAAAGCTGGAACCAAGCACACCATATGTTCATGAAGATAACAGTTGAAATGGAGCAGTAACTCTACATTTGGAAAATTAGCAATTCCTTTTGAATGTTCATTTGAGATGATAGCCAATAGAAGGTGACAAATGTTGTATGATAAGAAGTCTTATATCAAAGGAAAGCTGGTAGGAAAAAAGAAGGATGGAAAGCATTTGGAAAAACTCGTGCAGATAATCAGATTTTAAAGTTTGTTCACATGGGAGCATATCTCAATATGTAATAGCTGGTTATCAATGTTGACTTTTATAAAGTGAAACTGAATATTTGAATTAAGTCTTCTTGTACAACCATGTAATTTTTTAAAGAATATTCCTGTTGGTTTATTTCTGGAGAGTTTAATTGATAACCAGCTGCCTAGAATATAGAGGGAAAATTGATTATTATAGTGGGAGTTCTACCTTAAGAATACTTCTGTCCAAGGACAGGATGATCATACTATGCACAAGTAATAACTGTAAGTAATGAATTCTTCTATAATGACTTTGAACATTGCAGTTACACATAGATGTGTTTGTATAAGTACAGTTTTACAATGACGTTATTTTTTCAAAAAGTATGTTCTAAGAACATCTTCCTACTAGGTTACAATAAACCATCTCAGTATTATTGTTTATATAAATTTTTCTCATATTCAAATTGGAATTCATATTGCTGTCTGTCTGTAATATATTTTCTTATGCAAAGACCCCTAATTAGAAATTTCTTAAACTTCTTTTTCCAAGACAGTCTATCTGAGCCATATAATAATTTAATATTGATGTTGTTCTGTTTCTTTGATATACTTTTAAAAAAAATTCACTTATGGATGTGTTTAGGAAAAACTTGTTGCATTTGTCCAGGTTGTCCTCAAGAAAGTCATGCTACTTCACTTGGACATAAATGTCCATATGATACCAACTTTTTCAAAACCACATTCCAAAGCAAACCCATGTATTAGTAACAAAATTCTTGTGTGAAAAGTGTGTGGAAATGATACTGTTAAAAGTGGCAATTTTATGTAACTTCTCCCCCTTCTCAATGTTTAAACATCCTGAAACCTGGTACCTTTAGATGTGTTGGATCTCAGCTTCCCATAGACTGACTTGGGAATTGTACATACATGGAAGGAATAAAGTTGTTATGATTACTTCCATTTATCACTGCAGTTTCCTCCTTCTAAATCAGAGGTGTCAAACTCAAGGCCCGCTGGCCGAATCTGGCCCATGGGGTGCTTAAATCTGGCCCACAGGGCCAGCCTGGAAATATTAAAGGACTGACCCACGGTGCCTCTACTGGCCAAAATGGGTCTCATGAGGCCCCTGCTTGTCCTGCTTTCAGTCCCCCCAGCCTCCAGCAGCACTCTGCCAGACACAAACAGGCTGCACAGAGGTCCCGCGTGGCCCATTTTCAGCCTCCAGCAGCACTCTGCTGGCCAAAAAAACCTGCCGGCCCATGCAAGTGAACTACAATGTTGATCTGGCCCTCAAAGAAATCTAGTTTGACACCCCTGTTCTAGATGGTGATAGTTCCTGCATTTTCCCAAGAACATTCTGATCAGGACAGATCAGGTAAGCTTAAGCATATCGAAGCCTAAAACAGACTTCAACTAAGTCCCTTGAATATAGATACAAATTATTTTGGATACATCAGATAAAATAGATTCATGTCAATACAGCAAATGATGCAGCTTTTAGAGCATGCAGGTAGTCAAATGGGAAAAAAAGTTTTGATCCATCATGAGAAACTGTGTGTGAGATACCAAAAGTGAATAGTAGTAGATCAAAGGTGTTTTACTTTGATATTTATAAAAATATCAGTGCTATAACGACAAGGACATGCTTTTTAAAACAAATATTGCTGAAATAGATTCCTGATATAATAATGATGCTATGAGTGTTATAGAGGACACATCTGTAATATGTAAGGGAAAACACCATCCTTAATTCTGTCCTTAGCTTGATTTTTTTAAAGAACATTTTGGTATGTTTTGTGACAGTAGTTAAAGCAGTGAAGCATAAACTCTGCATGTTTTAATAATGGTTTTTATTAATATTTTAATGCTGTTTAAAACAGTTATACAATAAATAACTAAACATATTTCCAAAATTTTTCATCCTGTTTCCTGTTGCATTTTTTTTGTTTCTTTATTTACTTCATCGTAAAGAAATAAGCTGTAAATTTATTTATCAAATTTATTTGCTACCTATTTCCTGGTTCTGGGTGAGTTTACAATGATTTTGTCTATGCAACATGCTCAGCTGAAACACAGGAATAAAAAAGTACACGACAGCTTAGCATAATGAGTGACTACAGCCATGTCTAATAGATTTCTTTTAAGCATAAAGTTAGCTTGACATGATAGTTTTGTAGAATTTTGCTTGAAGTTTTGGATATAAAGAACTGCTTATTTATTTTATTTTTTAAATTTATATGCCACTCATCTCTCTGATAGGTGACTCTGGTTGGCTTACAGAACTTAAAATGATAAATAGAAAAGCAATTAAAATAAAGCACACAACCAGACAGAATATTTAACTCTATTGGATTCTAGATTCTACTCAGCTTTTTGCTTTACTGCTAGTCTATCTATATGATTTGAGCACTTTAAACAATTGTTAACCTCACCTTTTCATTTCTTATTATCTCTCTTTAAGATCTAGCAAGTTTACCTATGGGAACCAAGCCTCATCCGTGTACATATGTATTAAGAAACTCTTTCATACTTTATTTGTAATTCTTGGAGTAGACAAAAGTGGGTTTAATCTGTTTCTTTTGACCAGGTGGCTTATCCTCTGATTGCAAGACACTTTGTAGGAGAGATAGGCAGGGATTCATTTATAAATATATCATGCTGTGTCTGAAAAGGAACAAATACATTAAATCTCCCTTCAATTTAAGTTAGAATTTCTCTGTATTTCTCCAGAGGAAAATTGGAAATATATTTCTTCTTTTAAAGAAAAAATGAAAACAGTGGTATTTCTTTCAGAGTTAAATCCAAAACTCAGAAACAAGAATCCGTCATAGTAATTGTCCAAAACACATCATCATAAAGCATTAAGATCTTTAAGAAATGTCTTCACAAATTAGTTGCTTATTAGCATGAGCATTGAAGGAAAAGACATTACAAAATTCTGTGATTTTGTCCCAACCTTATTTTAATAAGGAGAAAATAGTAGTGAGCAGGGCAGGAAGCTTGGTATATAAGTAAAATTAGAATATTGAGATTAAGATATTAAGATTCCAGAAAGAGTATGGAATATGGAGAAGAGCAACAAGGATGATTAGGAGATTAGAGACTAAACTGTACAATGAATGGTCCAGGAACTAGAAATGTCTAGTCTAATGAAGAGAAGGACTAGTTAACAGTCTTTCCATTTTTGAGGGGCTGTCACAGGCAGAATGGGTTTAACTATTCTCCAAAGCAGCTGAGGGCAAGAAGTAACATGGAAACTTAACAAAGAGAGAGCCAACCTATCAGTGATAAAAATTAATCAGTGGAACATCTTGCCTCTAAAAACAGGGCTGTCAAACTCCTGGCCCACAGGCAGGATGCATCATGCACCTGCTGCGCCCACATCTAGTTTAGCGAGGGGGGGGAAATCCTGATATGTCATGTGATGCCACCATGACGATGTGAGTTTGACACCCATGCTTTAGAAGATGTGGATGCTCCATGGAGGTTTTTAAGAAGACATTGGACAGCCATTTGTCGTTAATGGGATGGGGTCTCTAGCTTGAGCAGGGGGTTGGATTAGAAGACCTCCAAGGTCCAATACTTCCAATTCTCTTATTCATTATTCTGTATTTCTGTCTACACTATTTATGGTGTTTATGGAGAATTTGTATTATCAGGAAAAAGCCATCCATGCTTATTTCTTTTAAGTTGTTTCAAACTGTTGCACACTTAAGAAACTGAGAACATTACATCTATGCAAGAAAATGACCAAATTCAGAGAGCACCATGGATCCAACTTTACATCTATGATATAGTTTGAGAGCAATTCTATTTTTTTATCCTGAAACTTCAGATTATAATTATTTAATCACCTCTGTTGGTTGCTGTTGTTTCTGAATAATTCCCTGTGGATTTGAAATAGTTTTGGAATTGCATGCAGTGTTTAAAGGGAGTATTTATAGTGTGTGTGTGTGTATGTGTATATATTCACAGCATATTCCATTTTTTAAACTGAAGTTGGTTGTTTGCTGGGAGGAAAGGAAATAGGCAACGAGGGCCAAAATAAACGAGAAAGATGGAGAATAGTAGAAAATGTGCTCCTTTCAGGTGCAGGCCTATGCAAATACTATAATTAACTTTAAGTGTGTATCCCCTGCTGCCTTCATTATAGCCTTTTATGTACAGATGAAAATTGAGGTGGCAGTTCTCATCTGTGCTGATGACACTGGTAAGCTACCCTTTGGACACAAGAGTAAAATTGGGTATTATTTATAACAAACCAACAGAGCTGGTTGATGAGTTAGATTCCAGTTTACAAGAGACAATTAAGAATATTACATTGTTTTCTGTCTTCTTTTTTTAAACCAAAAAGCAGAGAGAAAAGCATGGGGCTTCCTTAATAGCCCTTGTGACTCTACTTCATGTCCTTAGAGCACATTTGTTGTGTGTTGCATTTATTATGATCCACTTGTTATTATCCATAATTATTTTGCTTGGGGGAGGTCTCTTACTCAACAGCGAAATTTGCAACTTGATGATGAACTCTCAGCTGCCTGTATTTAAGGTAAAATTACTGCAATTAAGGAAGTGATCAATCCCTGAATCTGTCTGACTGACTTTGGACAGAACAAAAGGACAAAATTAGAACAGCTTTAGTACCATCAAGGCAGGGAAGAGGGCTGCAAATTTTAGGAGCAACAAAAGTAGCCTGCACCTGAAGCTTCTCTATAGCAATTAGAATGACAAAACTGTACCTAACCCAAGTTGGGTTTATTCTTTCTACAATCAGACAACATTGGACCTATTCTCAGAAATGTAAAGAGTAGAATTAAAGAATAATCTATAAAAACAAATATAGCCGAAAATGTATGGAACATATTTGTAATATATTCCCCAGTGTTGGTGTGTTCAACAGCCTTGCTAGCTGCAGTTAAGAGTTCAAATTATGCGTGGGGGAGGGAAATAGTTGTTGATGCATACTGACATGAATAGGGTTTTTTTTTCCAAAATGATTGTGGAGGCAAATGAATCTCTTGATTAAATGGAATATTCTATTGCAAAGAAATACATGTTAAAAGGACATGTATAGTTTCTGATTTTTATCATTCATACTAACAGATTTAATTTTTAATGATAATCACAAAGAGTTTCAAAGTCCCACTGCATCAAAAGATGACTTGGAAAGACATACCAGCATATCAAGATAATACAATAATCTAATTTTTCCCATTTTCATATGCAAGTTTTTAACACACTTTTGAATGTGCATTAACTTTCATGGATAAAATGTGAAGATATCAGTCATCCTATTTCATGCCGCTATTAAGCAAGTTAAATGTAAGAAGAAAAGTCTGGCTATTTCAGTAAGTCCTTGAGGGTTGATACACTCTTATTCTATGTTCCTCCTTTGCTGTAATTATCGCCATGATTTCCCTAGATGTAATGGAAGTGAAAATTATTATTTTGTTTTGATACCATTTATTGTTTTAATTTTTCAATTGTATTGTATTTCAACTGTATTCAACTGTACATCACTTAGAGTCATACGTGATTGGAGCACTCTGAATGCGTAAGGAAATAAATGAAATTGTGATATGGAGGCCCTTAGTTGCATATTCACACAATCATTTATATCTACAAACATTTCAGTTCTGTAAATCCATTCAGATTGGGTTCAACGAAGTATTGGAGGCTTATAAGGCTGTCATAAAGAAAAGTGATTTTAACAGTTCTTTCACTATGACGAGTACTTAGAAATCACTCTCACAATAAATAAGTCTTCCAGGTTGACAGGAATGGGGTGCAGGTGAGTTTGGGCTTGAAAAGGAGTCTGCCTTTGTCTATGGCAGGGTTCAGCAACCTTAAACACTCAAAGAGCAATAAGGGTCCTAACTGGAAGCCCCCTGTTCAATTCTGGAGCCAACTGAGACTTTGTGGTGGAGATTTCCCCACCATATAATATACTTTTTCCTCTACCTATCCTAACCAAAAGCCCTATCAATTGTGGAGCTGACTGGAACCCCCCCCCCCTTGCCATAGAGTCTCCTCCTAGCACGGCATCCTTTTTCCTCTACCTTTTTCCTCTACCTAGCAACTGTGGAGCTGACTGGAACCCTCCCCCCCCCAAACCGGACACTCCTCTCAAAATTGAGGTGCCAAATGGTGACAGGGAGCCGCAGCAGAGGGATGAAAGCCACATGCGGCTCCAGAGCCGCAGATTGCTAACCCCTGGTCTGTGGTGCAGCCTTGCAGATTGGTCTTCCCAAATCTGCTAATTTTTCAGTACTGTGTCTGGTTACAATTCTAACCATTTCCAACATATCTTCTCTTTTCCTCCCAGCTACAGCTTCTTCTTGATAGCTTGTATATTTAATTATTTTTAAATTGGCTTAATAAAAGTATTGCCTAAAATGGATTGTGAAATGTGTAAAATAAATGTTCTTTCAGATAACTTTATAGCCTTTTTAAAGGATACACATATGCTGCTAAATTCATTGAAAGATTCCAGATGTCATTCCTCCAGGTTTTGCTTCTGTTGGTAGAACAGATCTTTATATTATATTTACTAGTTTTCAACATATCTTACTACTGTTAAAAATACAAATGTTGCCTACAATTACAGCTATCCTTGACTTACGACGATAATTGGGACTAGAATTTCTGTTATTAAACAAGGCAGGTGAGTTGCACCTGATTTTAAGACCTTTTGCCATGTTAAGCAAATCACTGCAGTTAAGTGAATCCTGTGGTTGTTAAGAAAATCTGGATTTCTGTTGACTTTGCACATCAGAAGGCAGCTGAGGAGGTCTCAAATGAGGATCATATGACCCTGGGACCCTGCACCCATCATAAATAAGATGCCGAAATGCATATTTTGATTAGATGACCATGGAGATGCTACAACGATTATAAGCATGAGGATCAGTCATACGTAACTT